TAAATAAATTGTGATTTTATGTATTTATTATTGAACATTTGAATTAAAGTGCCTATAGTCACTTGTGATGATATAAGTTAGTTACTTGCGTTGAGAAGTACAGTGTGACACAACTTATATTTTGATCATAAATAATTTGTTTACAACCAATATATAAGGCTTGACACCTTGTACTAGAAGGTTGCAGTATTGATCAATTCACTATTCGGTTTGTGATATTTCTTCATCACAAAAATATTTAAAGGTAACACTAGTATACTTGATGTGTATCAAATGGACCACTTGTCGAGTTTAATTATATAGCACGACCTGCGAAGAATTATTGTATATGGATTGAAACTATTTTATCCATAAATAGGGGAAAGATAGAACCAAGACATCCAATTGAACACAAGAAAGTTGAATACAATAATTTCATAGTATTCTGATTTGGAGGGAGAAGAAAAAAAAAAAGAGAGAGAGAGAATTTATTTTTCTTTTATTCACATTTCCAGTCCAAAAATTATTTTCTTGATTTAGTTAGAATGATGTGCCCACTCACTGGTGTAGAATTGACTGCGAAGAATAGCACAAAAGACTTGAAGGTTTGGAGCATCAAGTTCTTGAACTAAAAGCTCGAAGTTCGTGCTTTAGAATTAATTCATGAAGTAATCATCAAATTTAGGTAAACATTCAAATAATTTATTCTTGATATAATATACACGTGAACATCTAGACAATCTTATTTCTTACATTTTTTAAAAAAAATTTCGAGTAATTCTACTTCCACATTTCAATAATCTCAATGTTAGTTCAGACACATTATATGAAAATGAACAGAAACAAAATGCTTATTTGGACTCGATTGTGGGAATTTTTTTCACAAGAACAAGAATTTTGTATTTGAACGAACACTAGTTTCTTTGATGAACTGTGATCAACCATTCTAATAGTTACAAATCAATTTGGTGGATTTCGTTCCCAAATTGAATCTAGACACCAAAATATTTTTCACGGTTGTTAAGATAGTAAATATTTCAAATTACATATAATTAATAATTCCAATACAAGTGATAAACAGTGATTAGAACCTAGAGCCTATTTGAGTCTCATTTTATTTGGAAAGTGCATATAACCTTTGGAAAAAAGGACCGTTTTAAAAAAAGACTTTATCGAAATATGACCTTCACAACACCTCCTTTCCATT